ACGAGAAACTATTTTTAAAAAGCCAAAATTTTAGTTTCGAACAAATAACTTTATTTGTACAGAGAGATGTGTACGGTACGACGTCGCTAACAGAACTGAAAACTAACTATCTAGCATGGTCAATCGTATTCGTATAAACCTAAGTCAGCACTACATGGAAGTTACAATCTAAGGGTTTTCTGGGGGTTGGAGCATATAACTTGCAGTTCTTTCTCGGAGGCGGTATTATTGACTCATTTTTCGGAACTATAGCACAACAAAAGCCGATGTTCTTTGAACATTATAGGGATTCCCTTTCGTGCGCTCCAAGCGATAAAAAAAAAAAAAAAAAAATATATAATATATATATGTGATTTATATCCGGGGAAAAAAGTACTCACTTTTTTTCCCACGGGAAAAAAGTAATTTATGGAAAGTGACATATTCTAACCTGCCAACAGAGATGGAATGCCGAACTTTTTTCCCGTCACAGAAAAAAAAAATTGTTCTATCCGTCATTCGGTTGCCCCCTTACGAGCAACCCTCAGAAGTCTTCGAGAGTCTTGTGCGAGCAAGGAATGACATGGACCTTACCTTTTAACGTGTGATCCCAAACACTTTCTTGGGCCACCAAAAAAATGTCTGCAGTCGCTGGGAATTGAACCCACGACTGGCAAGCGAATGCGGATTAGAATACTGACACTGTCCGCACGGCTACCTGGCCCCCTTAACAGGTACTGCCTAAGAATAGTCCCATTTGGTAAAACGTATTAAACTTTCAGAAACATTTGCTCACTGCCTCACGATTATGCTGGAGTTGAAAAATCAAAAACTCGAAAATTATCATCATTTGGATGTAATATGTTAAGTTGAATGAGAAATTACATGTGGAAATAACGTATGATACGTCAATGTCCTCAATATAACCTAAAAAGCAACAAATGTCAGAAATCTAGTGTTTATCCCCAGAAATGAATAAAGATGGAACTATATAACTGTTTCACAAAAACTTTAGAGTGAGAGGAAACGAGGATCTGTCCGTACCCTGTTAACATCAAGGGACCCTAGATCACGACATGCAATGCAATTTCTCGTGCATTTTTCTATCAGCGTTTTGCAATTGTGAGACTCCTGTTTCTGTATCAATAAGTATAACAAGTGGTGAATAAATTGTTGATGTAGAATTGCACTACTGTGGACCATCACGACTAAGGCACTTCCTTCCAAGTCAAGGGATATAGAGAGGTTGAGATCGACTTAGACTATATCAGCACTAGCATCAGGACAGCACAGCAGGTATGTACCCACCTCATTTGTAGCTTATTGATGGAGTCGTCTCTTGTAATTTTGAACAGGTACTAGTGTATTCATGCACGACATATTAATACTACAAACTGCCTATATCAAATACCTTGGTATTTGGATTGATGAAAAGTTAACATGGGACAAGCATATTGGCATGCTCAAAGAGAAAATTTCTCCAATAGATGGTGCCCAAAGAAGATAGATGTCCAAAACTTATCACAAATATAGCAAATACTGTTTGTTCTATACTCTCACATCCTTAGTAAAATGAACTATCTCAAAAATATGTCTGGTTCATGTTCCAAGAATAATTTCAACAAAATATCTGTTCTATATAAAAAGCATTAAAAGTACTGTATTGTCTTCCATATGACACCCCATCAAGTCAACTTCATGAAGAAACAAATACATTTTCTTTGGAAGAGCACTATCTGATAAATACTCTCAAAATTTCTTTTGATATTATCAACAAACACCTCAAATCTAACTTCATGTTGGTAAGGAATTCTCAAATCCATGAACATCATACTAGACAAGAATATGACTTGTTTTATCTTGATGCTGCTAATTCTACACTTGGTCAAAAAAAGTTCACTCAAGAGAATATTATCTTTAGAGGGGGGGCGAAATAGTCTTGGAAGTATTATTGACGCTCTGCCACTAACTTTGATCAGTTTGAATCGCGGCACGTTTGGGTATTCGCAAAGGCGACATCATCCCCATTTATTTGCTTCTTGTTCCAACTCATTATCACATGACGAAAGTATGTCCGGGATAATAGCAGCAAATAAATCGCTGTACCATGGATTTGGGCAGGTTGAAGTGGGACAAACATATTGATGTTTTGAGGAAGAAATTATCTCCAATTATTGGTGCATTGAGAAGATGTCCCAAACTTTATTTTGAAATTGCAAACATGATTCGCTACTCTCATATACTGAGTCGTATCAACTATTTAATAAATGTTTGGGGATCTTGTTCAAAAATAACTTTAATAGAATATCAACATTATATAGAAAATCGTTAAAAGAACTGTATCATCTCCCATTTGATACACCAAGCAATCAATTGTATAAAATAAAAAAAAGCGTATTCTTTAGATGAAATATATAGAATTGAAACTCAAAATTTCATATAATATCATAAATTCAAAATGGAAGTCGAATATTATTTTGATACGGAATTCTGAAATTCATAATCATCAAACTAGACAATATAACTTGTTTCATCTTGACGCCGCTAGCTCCATAGTCGGACAAAAAAGATTCACTCATTCAGCCATTACTGAATTCAATAAACTATCTGGCAATATCAAAAATTGCAGAAATATAGGTACATTCAAAAATTAAGTAAAAAAACTGATTATTCCTGAGCAAACTGGATAAAGTTAATCATGTTATTTTACTATGTTTTTTCTACAAATATTATTCTTTGTTTGCCAAATTATAGTTGTTGATATATTTGAAATGATGAAATGTTTACCTATAGGTATATAATTATGTTAGGAGGGTAGTCATGACTGACTTGTTAAGGTAGAATATACAATAACTTAAGAAACAGTTCCAAAGGAAATATTTCTAGGTGAGGTTGCATTCAAAATTTTGGCCTTAATGAGAGGACTCTTTGTTACTTAGCTGAGCTTTCGGAAATGTTTATTTCCTTTAGACATCTATAAAAAATGGGTAAGTGAAAAAACTTTGTCAATAATACATTTGAAAAAGTACTTACTAACGTGAGATTGGTGTAAAGCACAATGAAATACATAACAGTTGCATGTTCAGCTGAATTTGACGATAACAAATATTTTTAATTTTATAATTTTTGGATAAATACAATAGGATATCAATACACAGGTTACATTTCCTTTCCGTAACGGACCTTTGAAAACAAAATGGACGGTTGGAAGAGTCGGAAATGCCAACCATATATATAGTTCCTACACTGAGGGAAAAAATTTGTAGCCGTTACTAAAAAATTAGTAACTACAGAAAATTTTTTTAGTACGTTAGGGACAGCAAGCATTAGTTGTTGCCATAACTAATTCTGTTTTTCTGGAAACGCCTATTTGCCTCAAATGAAAAGTTTAGTTGAGTCATCTACGACGTTGTTGTGGTAACTAATAAGCCTCTTTAAGGAATAATACCAAGTTTTATTTGCCACAATCAAGATACATAGTTATGACAATTAGATTGTTAGTACTGTTTCAATATATGTTTGTTATCACAACAAATTATCCCAGTTGGGACAATTACTCATTTCTTCTGACGTTAATAGTGAGTGTGTTGTTGCAAATTAAATATTTAATTGTGACTGAAATGGAATCTAGTTACTATTAAAAGTGATTTAGTAACGTTTGAAATATAATTTTGTTATTCTGGCAACTTAATAGTTTTATATCAATTAAAATCAAGGCCCCATTCTAATAATAACAGTTTGTATGCCATTTTCCTTCCAATTTCCAATGGAATCGTGAAGAGGAATACACCACACACCGTAAGTGCCACAGGCCACAGCTCAGCAAAAAGAGAGGGAATTATAAATATACACCGTGTACACGTGACGTCGGATGGACGTTTCTCATCGTCGCCCGTCGTAAACTGAACTGAATTGTGAATAGGTACCTAAACCTGATAACTAGTGACGCACAGATAACGATGGTAAACTGCGAATTATTATTTTGCCAACCAAATGCCAAATAGCTCAGCGAAGTGACAAAAAACTCAAAACAGTGATTTGAAAACACACAGAGCAGTGAACCAGCAAGAACACGACGCTCCCGGCTACACTAGACAATTATTTTATTCATTTTGTCTAAGTTCGACGACCGTGCGATCTACCCACTATTAAGATACAAGTTCAAATGATGAAACAGAAAGACAAACAGATGCAAGATGCAATTTTTGCCGGTGGGTCCCGAAGAGACGCGAGGCGGTCCCGAACGACGCAGTACAACTAAAATTATTAGTTATGGCTAAACAATTTCTGCTATTAATAATAATAAACCTTTTATGATAAATGTGTCATCATCCTGAAACGTCCAAAGATAAGTGAAAATTTGATATTTTTTCTATATACCTTTATTTCTCTTCTCCAAAAATTTTTCAATACAAATTGTCACTGACAAGCTAGTGAATTTTTCTTTTAGGCTCTCTGATAGGAAAATTCTTTAAACGCTGTGACATTTTGGGGCAAATCATCTGATTTGTCCTTACTACACGTATATTGAAATAATATTCATATTTTTATTTTATAGAAACGAGGAGAGAAAATCCCAAAAAATTTGGAATAATGAATGTACCACCTCCTGGATTAACCTACAGACAGTATTTAACAAATAGTCAGCTGTTGTTAGTAACCCCAGAATGAGGTTCTTTAACCCCAATATGAAATTTTAATTGACTGAATAGACAACACTGTGATAATTCTGTCACAAATAGTATTTTTATTGATGACAAATAATTGGCGAAAAATAGAAAAGTCATTTGTAGGAAATATGGATATGTTGTCATTGTTAATAAAATTTCAAATATTTTTAATTATCGGTACTAAAAAAATACCAACTAGACATTTTAATTACCCAGTTTTTCTCAGTGTAGGACTTTACCTCCTAGGAACTTGAAGTGTTGCATCGCAACATACAGTGAAAGAAACGTAACTTCAAGAGCTGATTTTGGAATAAAAATGAACAACTTTTGAGTGAGTTGTAGAAAAATTACCTTTTTCAGACAGTCATCGCATCAGCCAGCTCCCATCCAAACGAATCCGATCTCATTTAGGCGCCGTTCCTTGCTGGATCGGTTTCGCTCCTTTGAAACGCCTTCCCAACAAGAAGATCTCCGCCGAATCCGATCGGCTCGATTGCGGCTTCACGATTTTCACGTTGCCGTAGAACAGTGCCATGTCGAGTTCCAGTTTCTTCAGCTCATGGCACTGCCACAGCTTCACCAATAGCGAGCCGTCAGGTTTGGAGACTTGCAAGGCGAACCTTGAAGAAAAAACACAGATAAAATGAGAACAAATGGGATGTTGAAAGAGAATATTCTCAGATAAATTGAAGACCTCGGTGCATCTTTCGGTGCAAGAATCAAGCGAATCCAACAAGTTCCTGTCAAGTTAACACAGGAAAGGATTTACCTGATGAGCCATTGAGGTGCAAGAGTCGGGCAACTCCAGGAGTTACCCGATTTTAGCACCGAAATGTACGCGTGTAGTGGGAGATGTCGGAGTGAGTTTATTAGCGGCAAGCCTCCCCGCGTCTTCCATCGTGTGTGGCGTGATTAGTTTGATCATTTGTTTCATGCAATACAATGAATTATCGTCGGAAAGTGAAAGTGAGCCCTTTCAAGATTCGGGGAGTGAATATGTTCCAAAAACATAACTGTTGACGAAGAGGACCCAAATTCTGGCAATGTTAACGAAGATCAAGATGCAGGAAACGTCAGCGATTCTTCCTATGTGATATACAGGGTGTTCCTCAATGATATGATATGCTAATATTCAAGGGGCCGATTCTTCGACACATTTCAAGAATAGAACTTCATATAAACGTATGTCGTAAACGTCCTAACTTTCGAGATACATGGGACAGGGTGTATATACAGTGTGTGCGATTTCAACCTGCAACACCCTTCTAATTTGGAACCCGTCGACTGATATACAAAAACAAAAATTTCATAATATAGTAATTAACGAGCTCTATTTGAGAATGTGAACAAATTTGCAATTTTCAGCCTACTTTTGTTTGTTGAAGTGGTCATAATTTCATAAACGACTATTAGGCAAATTTTTATCAAAACTGTGACAAGCCTATTCGATTCATTCAAACGCAAAATCTCATATAGGGTGTTAGTTCTACATTTTTTTGATTTGCAGCTTCTTCTTGGGGTTTGGATTCGGTTTTATAAAGAATTTCAAGGGATTATTATTATTATTATTATTATTATTAAAAAGTGATAATGGGCTGAGGTGTGAACCTATAAAAGCCCATTTATACATGACATAGTTGTATGGTACACATAAAGAAATATTATATATATATGTAAATAGCTACTAGACAAACAATTAGATTAAAAATAAGATTGAAAAAACAATTAAATATGTTGAATAGAAATTGAACATTTCGAAATGAAATAGACAGATATAATGCGATGCAAACTGAAAAAAACAAAAACAATTTACTCAGTAATACGATCTAATCGACTTGACTGATGATACTGAGGGTGCATTAACTATGTCTGTATCCAGGTTGTTCCATGCCGAGAAAACACGATTTACTATGAAGTTTTGCCGATTTGACGACCTGAAATGTTCCTTCTCAAGTTTAAAATTATGTCCTCTTAATCGTGTATCATCGTTTATCTGGATCATATCACTCAGTGAGGGTAGAAATCCATGAAGAATCCGATAAGTTAGGATCAAGTCTCCACGATGTCTTCGATCTTCGAATGTTGTCAGGCTTAACTGATTCAAACGTTCATGGTATGATAGTCTTCTGAGACCGAAGGACATTCGGGTTGCTCGTTGTTGCACAGATTCCAACATGTTACGATCTCTGATCAACTCCGGGCTCCACACTTGTCCTCCATATTCTAGGATTGGCCTAACATAAACTTTGTAGAGGTTAGTGAACGTTTCAGGTGACGTTTTCGGAAAAACTTTTTTCAAGAGGTACAATTTTGTATTCGCTCGTTTGCATATGTTTGAAATATGTTGTGACCACGTTAAATTGCTGCTTATGGTAACTCCAAGATCATTGTGGCATTCAACCTTAACTAATTGCACATCATTGATGGTATAATTTTGTCTAGGATTATTTTTACCAAGGTGAAGTACAACACATTTATCAATATTCAGTGGTAGTAACCACTCACAACTCCAGTTGTATAAGGCAATCAAGTCATTTTGCAATATATGTTGTGATTTTGTGTTGTTGTAAAGTTTTGTGTCATCAGCGTAAAAAGAACAGGTTGACTTAAAAATATGTGATAAATCTGATGTGTAGCACAAAAACAACAGAGGACCAAGTACAGATCCTTGGGGAACTCCACTCAATACAGGATATTGGTCAGAGAAGCAATCATCTATCCGAACACAAAAATATCTGTTCTCTAGAAAATTCTGGATCCACGTCAGTAGTAGCCCGCGTACACCAAAATGTTCTAATTTACACAAAAGTCTTTTTCTAGGGACACGGTCAAATGCTTTAGAAAAGTCTAGATAAATAATATCCATAGGGGTATTATTGTCCAAATGTTTTGACCAGACATTCACGCACTCCAATAAGTTTGTTGTAACTGACCGATTTGGAACAAAACCATGTTGTTGTTGCGGAATTATTTTGTGATATAACAGGAAAGTTTTTAATTCATCACTTATTATTGATTCCATGATTTTGCAAGCCACTGAAGTGAGACTTATAGGTCTGTAGTTGCTTGGGTCGAGCTTGTTACCCTTTTTGAATATTGGTGTTACAGATGCTAACTTCCAGCTATTTGGTAAGCAGCAGTTTTTGAATGAACGGTTCATAATTATACTTAGTGGATAGACTAGATTTTCGCTTTTAGTTTAGATTAGTAGAAAAACGTTTCGCCCAAGGCCATGGTTAGTTATACAGTGGCGAATTTTGATATTTTTGATTTTTCGATTCACCCTGTATCAAAATCTAAAGAGTTGATATAACCGATGAAGTAGTCATTCAATAGAGGAACACATGGAATACTAAAATACGAAGTTTCATCGTTGTAACTTCTACAGGAAGATCTCTCTTGGTCAACCAAAAATTAATAAAATTGAAGCTGACATTTTTTTATGATCTATATATTTTTTTCCTGGAAATATAAATAATGGAAACTAATTCGAAGAAATATTCTCTATACATAACAATTTCCATTGTCAACTCGAATTTTCTTTCCATTGAAAGACTAGTTCACCAGTTATATAGATTACTTAGATTTTGATACAGGGTGAATCAAAAAATTTAAAATATCAAAATTTGCCATTGAATAACTAACACCCTGGAATGCCTGAATCGAATGGGCTAGTCACTGTTTCGACAAAAAATTGCCTAATAGTCGATTTTGAAATTCTGACCCATTGAACAATCAAAAGTAGGCCATGAAAATCTGAATATTCCAGATTTGTCCACATTTTTTAATAGAGCTCGTTGAGTACTATATTATGAAAATTTTGTTTTTGAAAATCCGTCGACGGTTTCCAAATTAGGAGGGTGTTGCGGGTTGAAATCGCACACACTGTATATAGTCATTGAGAATTCACATTCTCTATGTGATGAAAATATCAATTCTTTCTCGGTTTATTCAACAGAAAACAACTACTTTCCAGGCTATATGCCACGATGAACATTGAATTATATATATGGAACACACAAGATAAGAATTTGAAAACAAAATCTCCTGAAGCAGAGAATATGCATTCTCCTTCATATAAAGATATGAACATAATATCATTCTGAATATTCAACAGAAAACTACTTTCCTGGCTATTTGCCATTTTTTTATTTTTATTTCAATACATTCCTTCCTTCAAGGGAATGATTGATATTTCCTTTGGAAAATTGAAGAAATGGAATCGCCATTCCCTTCAGAATTCCCGCAATTCATTACACATCAGGACATTTTCATTTATGCTTTTTTCTCAATAGTTTATGAAATTATATTTCAATTCTGACGTTCATAATATTTATTGTCGAATTGAAACAATTTTGAATGAAAAAGTGAACCACTATGATGCTGTTGACACAATGCAAGGTGTGTAACTTGATGAATCTAAACATTCGAAAAAACTTAGTTGCCATTTCTGTTTCCGAACTCTTTATCTAACTGATACCATCATCCAGTGACTCTAGTTAAAGTTAGCTTCATCATGTTTTCAATTGATGTGTGATCCCTTCTTAAAACAATGGTTATTGATTCACATTGATACCCACTTTTTTAGAGAAGATACAAGGCTGTTATTTATTGTTGAGCTTTTATAAAAAAAAAAAACAATTGAAATTATTACTCAAATACTACAAGATATATTTTTTTAATTCAATTCAGTTCAATCCGCGGATGCCATTTTGTTTGATACTAACCTCGATATAGAGTGCGAAATATTTCATTCCTGATCAAGTGGCGCAGCCGAGTTAAAAAGAGATTGTTTGATAAAGAGGCGCAGCCGAGTTGAAAACAGTAGAGATTTTTGTCTAAATTGTCTACATGTGAATAAATACGAAAATAGAAATAAGCATGAAAATGATGGAGTAATTGAAAAACAAACCTCAAAACACTGTAGCAGAGTTTGATTATGTTCTCAGTGTCCAGTTGACGCATTCCTGTTGCACTTGGTGCCATGTCAGATACAATGGCGTCAGCTTTTCTCCCTCCCAGATGATCCAATAACAGCTTCTGAGAAATTGGATCTGTGAAATCCATGTTACCAAGAATTGTGGCACCCTGAAAAAAATAATTATTCTTGTACAACTGTCAAAAAACATGACCATCTTCGATTTCGAGAACGCATAGTTGGGATCAAAATAAGACTTTTTTATCCTGACGGGGAAAAAGTTCGAAATTCTATTTCTGTTGACAGGTTATGTGTTATATATTATAGTTTGATTGTTCGTTATGTATATGGTTTTGTAACGTGTAGTATCCATGGTTATGGATGAAGGATTGTCATAATTTTTAGAATCAATTAATAAAAGTTTCATGTACATTGGAGACTTTTTATATCAATATAAGAAGATTAAACATGGTGGCAGCGATTAAAATGGATTTTTCCGAAGAGTGAAACGAGGAAGAGTATAAAGTAGTACTTATCGTAATTGTAACGAAGTCACAATGACAGATAATTTCAATAAGCCACCCCAGTTGAGGATGAAGGGCAACAACGGATTGGAATGGTTGAGATGGAGAAGTTGTTTCGAAATATATATGAGTGCTGCAGGACTGGACTCTGCTCCAGATAAAAGGAAAATCAATATATTACTGAATTTGATCGGAGAGGATGCTATTGAAGTAAAAGATACGTTCGAATATGTGAACAAAGAGGATGAAGACAAATTCAGTATTATTCTGGAAAAGTTCGAGGAATATTTTGTTCCAAAGAGAAATCTAACAATTGAAAGATTCAATTTCTTTGCTGTTGAACAACATGAAGGTGAGCCCTTTGAATCTTTTCTATTGAGTTTGAAAACAAAGGCTGCAACTTGTGAGTTCCAATCCTTGAAAGATAGTCTAATACGAGATAGGATAGTTAGCGGAATTTGGGATAAGAGAACCCAGAAGATGTTACTAAAGACTAATGACATTTCATTGACAGAAGCGATAGATATCTGTGTTATTCAAGAACTTAGTGAAAAGCAGTCCAGAGTATTACAGGATCACCAGAAAGTTGAAGAGATCAAGAAAATGGGAAAATGGGGACTATCACCAGACAAGCCGAACGTTGAAGAAGTCAAGAGATTGGGACAATGGAGACCACGTGGAGTTTTCCAGCGCCAAGCGAATTTTGATCAGAATAACCAGTGTTATAGATGTAATAGGTTTCATGAGTTTAGGAATTGTCCTGCGTTTGGAAAAATTTGTAATTTTTGTCAAGGTAGAAATCACTTTGAGTATTGTTGTCAGCGAAAATTTCCAAAGTCGAGTGATAATAACATGAGAAAGGTAAAAGAAATTGAAGTTAGTAATGATGACAATGATAAAGAATTTTTAATATCTGAAATCGTTATCCATGAGATATGTAGGGCTTGGTATGCTGACATTTTGATTGATCAATTTCTAATCAATTTTAAGCTTGATACTGGTAGTGAGGTCAATATAATACCCGAGAGTATCTTTAGAAAACTGAAACAAGGCAATTCAGAACTAGAGCTAGGTTCAACTAAGGCAATCAGAGAATCAAAAACCTAAATTTTTCATTGAAGCTGAAATTATATGACCAATGAGATTTGAAAACGTAAGTTTTTGATCAAATATGAGTCTTTCGATTCAGTGACTCGCACTAGAATATTGTCATCAAGCTTATAGTTAAAGATGACTGGAACAACTTTTCGAGTGAATGTCATAACTTAACATTTTTTAATATTCAACTGAAGTTTCTTCTGGAAGCACCAGTGACTTAGAGAATTCAAGTCTTCCTGCAATGCAATGTTATCCATTTCATCTTTAATTTCTCTGTAAATCTTCATATCATCAGCAAATAAAAGTTTCTGGGATAGGATATGATCAGCAATATCGTTTATGAAAATTAGAAAAAGTAAAGGTCCAAGATTTGATCCTTGAGGGACACCAGAAGATGCCGTAAAGCAGGAAGATTTGATTCCATCGAACTCAACATAAAGACTACGGTCAGATAAGTATGACTTGAGAAGCAACTGAATACTTGTAGGGATACCAAAGCTCGATAACTTATTTATTAGTTGTTGATGTGACACGCATTATGCAATATACACACATAGATACCGATGTGTATGCAGCCAACGAAAAATGCAACATTCTTAAAACCAAATATAATTGAAACTACAAATCTTATTACAGCTGAAATCAACTTTCAAAGTATGAAAAATGTTCGGAATAATCTGATTATTATTAATCCTAAACATGTCACAACACAAATCATGAGTAATTTGTCACTGTCATGCGTGAATTCTACCAAGAATTCAAATAACCGTGACTTTTGGAATTGACACATTTTTTGACCAATCAAAACAATTTCAGCTATGGTGGTCGTGCATGGTCGACAGAATGATGGAAGTAAGATATGGTGCGCGTATTCGGCCATCATTACGTATTGAAAATTTCCGAAAAATCACTCGACCGCCTACCATGATTTCTCTACGTCACAACGAGCGAGATATTGATTCTACATTTTCCCGCTAGATGGTGATGCTGCTATTGCTGCTGTGCCGGCATTTTAGGTATGCGGAACATATGTAATCGATCTTTTCAGTCATTAATTTTTTAGTCGAAATAATGTCATCTGCAGATGCATACTGAAAAAAATCACGTAGTCACAATTAGATAGATAGATAGATAATTTATTGTATTTGAAAAGAATTACAATTCTTATTACAAGGGTTAAGCTTAAGCATATTTGACAGAGGTGGTGTAATATTATGATTTATTACACACCAGTGGTAATTCATTCAAAAGTGGTAATTCACTCAAAAGTGGTAATTCATTCAAAAGTGGTGATACATTGCAAGTGGTAATACATTGCAAGTGGTAATACATTGGAAGTGATAATACATTTACTGAAAGATTTGATTGAATGTGAAAAAAAACGATGAAAAGGAATATAGCAGAACGTGAACCAACCTAATGAGCTCGGCAAGACAAGTGTTGAGCAATTATCATGGGCTCTCTAGCAATATTCGTTGATTATGAATTATTTATTTATTTATTTATTTATTTATTTATACATAATACATCCAACAGGCCGGAGCCCAATTACAGGAGTATATAATAATAATAGTTATAATAAGAATAATAATTACAATGAACCAATGTAGGTGAACAAATGAAAATATATATCTAGTTCGGAATAATAGTGTACAATTGCTTTCTGAACTGGGTTAAATTTGAAAAAAATATATCTACAGACGGCACATTATTGAGGCTTCTACACATAGATGTGATAGGACTATTGAAGTGATGTTGTGAATTTGGAACATCGATTCGGAAAGTCAGGTTTGATCTTGAAGTGATACGGGGTATGTTGAAACTCAGTGTGGATAAAAGGGACGCCGAATCTATTTGATTATTTATTAATTTATATGCAAAAATCATGTCTGCTATTTCACGTCGTTTTTTCAAGCTAACGAATGCAAATTCTTCTAGTAACAAATCGTAATCGCAGTGACGTTCAGGATAAATATTATATTTTTTGAAAAACAAAAATTTGAGAAATTTTTTTTGTACTGTTTCCAATGCTTGTATGTGTTTAACTTGGCTTGGGTTCCATACCGCACTGCAGTATTCAAGCTTGCTACGTACAATGCAGTAGTAAATAGAACAAAGAGCTCTAAGATTCGTAAATTCTTTACAATTACGTATGAGGAAACCTAGAGCCCTATTGGCATTGGATTTAATTTTTTCAATATGTAAATTGAATATTAATTTGCTGTCAAATATAACTCCCAGATCTGTACATTCGTTTACCCTGCGTAGTTTACCATCTTCGATGAAATATTCGAATAAAAATGTAGAAACTTTTCTAGAGTAGCTCATAATTTTGCATTTCTCAATATTCAGGGGTAAATTATTTTCAGAACACCACTTGAAAAGAAGATTCAGATCGTTTTGCAGACGCAAACAATCTGCAATATCTGTAATTTCTGTGAAAATTTTCATGTCATCTGCAAAAAGGAGTTTGCTTGATTTAATTGAAATGCATATATCATTTATAAATAGGAGGAATAGAAGAGGCCCCAGATTCGATCCTTGAGGTACTCCTGAATGAGCTATGAACTTGACGGATTGTACACCTTCATACTCGACGAATAAATTCCTATCAGTGAGGTACGATTTCAATAGTAATTGGATATTAGGGGGTATACCGAAGTTACCCAATTTTTGTAAAAGTTGTTTGTGAGAAACTTTGTCGAAGGCTTTGCTGAAATCAGTATAAACAACATCTACTTGGTGACGACTATCGAGTGAGTTTGATACATACTGAGTGAACGTGCATAGGTTTGAGACTGTGCTTCGAGATTTCATAAATCCATGTTGGAACTCTGATAAGGAGTTACCTACATGAGAGTAAATTAGATCAAAAAGAATGATTTCAAACAGTTTCGAGAATACTGAAATAAGCGCTATAGGTCTATCTCAACTAAGTATGTTCATTATCACAAACCAATTGCTTTAGAAATGTTAGCGGACCATAATTCAGGGCATATGTCAAGTCGTTTAGGTTTCTCATCTCCAGAGAGATGTTTGACGCTTGTATACCATCGTATATAGGCGTTACCATATGGTAACGATATAGGACACACGAATGGAATGTGATATAGAGACTCCCTTCTTTCCATGTTGCATATTGTGCATAGTTCTTCAGTGTTGATGAAGTAATTCGAAATTTCTTGCTGCATGATCTCAGCTGTGTGTAGTCACAATTAAGAAATTCAAGAGAGAATAATCATAATATCATTTGATGGAAAGATGTGTGATATTCCTGTAGTATTTTCATAATTTTTCAATTCAGAACTTTTGAAAGTGATTTTTCTCGAGTTTTTCAAATGGAACACCCAATATATTTTTAGGCCATTTAATATTGATATTCGTAACCATTTTCGAATTATTGAACTTCTAAATTTATAGGTTGGCCATTTTCATGGATACTTTCCACGTCCTGTATAATGAATATCAATTCCTCATACATAAAAAAAAATCATCGACACACATTCTCATCTGATATTACAACATCAAAAGTCCAGTTGATAATTTAT